CCGCCGCCATGGACGACCCTCAACCAGAGTCGTAAGTTTGAAATAACACAAACATTGCCACCCGCAACGAGGGTGCGCGATCTTTTCGTTGTGTAATATGTTTCCGGGTTCATACTTTTCACTCACCTATTACTGGCCGCCCGCGCAGGGAGACGGGCGGCGGCACCCGCTACGTCAAGGTACGGACCGTCGGCAAGGGCGCCTTCGGCACCGCCGTCCTCTACCGCAAGGAGCCCGAGGGGTCGCTGGTCGTCATCAAGCAGGTGAGTGTGTAGAGCTTCGTTGAGGGGTACTTCCACTCAAAAGAAATCTGGGAAAATATCAGAAAATTTTCGAGAAAATCAGAAAAACTCAGAGCAGAAAAATTCAAGAAAAATCAAAAGAAAATCAGAACTAGAAAAATCGGTGTACGCTGGAGTTTATAGTGAAGTACCTTTCGAGCGTTGTCCTCCGCGCTGCGCGGCGCCGGGCGGGGCTCGCCACTGGTTCGCCCAGGGCCGCAGGGGCTTGGGGTAGGCCGCCGTGGCGCACGGCTGTACGGCGGGTCTGCCCACCGCGCAGGTGCCCGTGCTGGAGCTGTCGGCCACGGAGCGGGTGCGCGCCCTCAACGAGGCCCGCGTGCTGGCGCTGCTCTCGCACCGCAACGTGGTGCGCTACCTGGGCTCCTGGGAGCGCGACGGCTGCCTGCTGCTCGAGATGGAGTTCGCCGGCGGCGGCACCATGGCCCAGTTCCTGGCGGCGCGCACGGCGCGCAACGCCGCGCTGTCCGAGCGCCGCGCCCTCGCCCTCTTCTCGCAGGTGGCCTCCGCCATCCGGCACATGCACGCCCACAACGTGCTGCACAGGTCAGTGCCCACAACGCCGACGAGAAACTGAAGCGGTCCCCGCCCAGCTCCTCTTTGTCCAATCTGTCTTTTTATGCAGGGACCTGAAGACAGAAAACATATTCCTCACAAAGGACAACGTGGTCAAGGTGGGCGACTTCGGTATCTCCAAGGTGATGGGGACGCAGGTGCAGGCCGAGACGGTGCTCGGCACACCTTACTACCTCAGCCCTGAGATGGCAAGTATGACGGGGTAGACATACGCCTTATTTAATCGTGCTTAGAGTTATTCGTTCGTTCCTACGCAAACTGTCACTCACCCGTGCCGTCCGCAGTGCGAGGGCCTCCAGTACGACCAGAAGTCGGACGTGTGGGCGCTGGGCTGCGTGCTGTACGAGCTGCTGGCCTTGCGCAGGGCCTTCTCCGCCCCGAGCCTGCCCGCGCTCGTGCGGCGCATCGTGGCCGCCGACTACCCGCCGCCGCCCACCAGGTCAGTGGTTGCAGGGTGTACTTGTACTTGATGTAATCAGCTGCTCGTTAACGCGAGCGACCCCGACCTCCAGGTACTCGGCGGGCACGCGCGGCCTGCTGTCCAGCCTGCTGCAGACGGACCCCGGGGTACGGCCCTCCGCCAACGTGATCGAGGACCAGCTGTTGCCGCCGCTCCAGGCCGCCGCCAACCTCTCGACGGACGCCGACTCGCTGGACGGCACGCAGGGCCCGTGCGCCAGGTAAGGCCGGGTCAGTCGACGACGCCGCTTGCAGTGACTCTTTGCTTGCCGAGGATGTCACCGAGAGAGCCCACTCCTGCCTCTGCCCCGCAGGAGCGTGGTGTTTGAGCTGCGCGCGTCCAACTGCTTCGTGTCCCTCACCCCCGTGGCGCTGCCGGCCAGGGCGGCGCTGAGGGAGCTCGCCGTCAGCAAGACCCACTGCGTCGCCCTCACGCAGGGTGAGTGAGACACGCAGACTTGCGCTGCGCCACCTCCTCGGTCCGCCGAGCTGAGCCGATTCATCCCTTGTTAACTTTCTTCCTCCTTCCTCCGCAGAGCAGGTGGTGTTCACTTGGGACGTGGTGGACTGGCGGGGCGGCGCGTCCTTCAGCGCGGGCCTCGAGTCCTGGCGAAAGCCCCAGCACCAGCCGCAGTGCGTGGATGCGCTCACGGGCCTGGGCATCACGAGGTAAGGAGGAACGGCAGGACTGGGTCAACAACGACAACAACAACAAATAATTCAGGAGGGGCTGTTGTCTGTCTGTTAAGGGTTGGTGCTGGTGACGGCTTCAGCGTGTTCGCCTCCGACTCCGGGGCGGTGTTGACGTGCGGCGACGGCGCGGAGGGCTGCCTCGGCCACGGGGACTACTCGCACTGCGTACGCCCGAGACTCGTCGGTAAGGTGCCGCCGCCGCCTCCCTGACAGAGTGAGCGAGCTGCTCTGACTATACGGCGTCCTTTTCTGCCACGCCCGCAGAGAAGCTGCTGGCCGCTGACGTGGTGGCGCTGGCCGTGGGGCCGTCGCACGTCCTGGCGCTCGGCGGGGACGGCTGCCTGCACGCCTGGGGCCGCGGCAAGCACGGCCGCCTGGGCCTGGGCCACCAGCAGGACGCGTGAGTGCAGCACGAGGTGCGGGTGCTGCCCGCCCTGGAGTAGCACCACTTACTTGGGCTGGGGCGAGCGTGTCTGCCGCAGGTTGCTGCCCGCCGCCGTGCCGCTGCCCCAGGGCGCCGTGGTCCGCTCCGTGCACGCCGGCCCCGACTGCTCCGCCGTCGTGTCGACCGCCGGGGAGCTGCTGCTGGCCGGCGACAACTCGAGCGGCAAGCTGGCGCCGGCCAAGGGGCTGCGCACCAAGCTGCCGGTGCGGGTAGCGGGAGTTGTGTAGGGTGGTCGCAGACTCGGCAGCTTCACTGATCACTGACTCGTCTTCCTGTCCCTCCGCAGGGCTGGCTCGGGGGCGCCGGACGCGGGCCGTGGCTGCGCTTCCGCGCCGTGCACCTGCCCGAGCCGGTGCGGGACGTGTGGCTGGCCGAGGACCACGTCGCGGCCCTCACGGACACGGGCAGGCTCCTCGCCCTGGGCGACGGCGCGCCCGGGCCGAGCGCCGCGCAGCCTGACCGTACCTTCGCCGTGAGTGCCGAAACCAAACCGCCATACCAAAACGTTATTGTTTGTTTCGACCAGGGTCGTCTCACTTCGAGATCGCGGGTCGATCTTCTGTCTCTCTCGCACCTCCCGCCTTCTTATGGGAAGAAAGAGACAGAGATAGCCACCCGCGATGTTCTAAAACGCGAGCGAGCACACCCTGTTGGTTTCGACCGTTACGTACTTTAAACTCCGCTCGGCGCTCGCACCCGCACCCCCACCCCATTTCACTCCGCCGCTCTACCCTCCACCAGACCGCGCCCCTGTTGCGCGTCGCCGGACATCTTTTGTTGTCGTTGTTGTTGCTGCTTGTTCGGCCTAGTGTTTACATCGTGTGCCTGCTGATCCCCCGTTTTGACACCTGTGGCATTTATCTCGTGCAAGTTTATGGCGAAATGCAAAATATGAAGAGGCAGTGCTTGCGACCGCGAGGAGCTTACGATGATGACTACTGCGACTACGAAACAGAAATAGTAAGTTAAATCCTCGACTTTCGAGTCACTATCACTAGTTTAGGTTAGGTCAGACCCGGCGAGGGTGGGTTCTAAGCAGTTTGCGCAAAATAGAGTTTTGATATTGCTCAGTAGCGAGTCGTTTGTTTAATTGTGGAAGAACGGGTAGTTAAGAAACTTTTCTCGGTGTGAAAATCTTACCTGATTACTTAATGTGCCAATCCGAACGATTTGAAGGAAAGATGAATGATCTCAAAGATGGCCACCGTGCTCGAACATAACAAATCGGGCGTTTCTTAATATCAGTCAAGCCCGTAAATTTGCATCACCCCTCAACCAAATCTGAGACATGTCTTTAAAGCTTTGTTGGACTAGGTAATGCTGCAACAAGTTTATGCAGCTTGGTCTACTGTTTTTGTTGTTTTCCCACCTGTTGCTGACCTCTGTTGAATGATTTGTTTCAGAACAGCGACAGTGATTCAAGCAAAAGTATCAGACGGTCCCAAATCAGGAGTGAGGAGATGTCGGTCTATCCCAAGGATCTAAGAGCACTCCTCAGAGCCAAGGGAGAGAAGGTAAAGAACAGAGTCGGTCAAGATGAGAGTCCGGTCATTGACGGATGGGCCTATATAACCGTGGATTTTGATCTTTGTCGTTTCATTTCCCCAGCGTTCATCAATGCAGCAGCTCAAGAATGACCCTATGACGACAAGTGACGGCCTCCCAAGAAAGATAAAAATTGAAGAAGATGCCGACAACGGAATGTGCAGGCCGCCATCGGCCATCACCCCTCAAACGCAGTCCATGTCGTCGTCGTCGTCGACGTCCTCCTCGACCCTGTCGTCTTCACCCGTCCCCGTGATGGCGTCGACGCCCGCCGCCGTGAACTCACCGTCGCCGTCCGCACCCGCGACGGCAACGACGACGACCTGCGACCCGGGCGCCCCGCCCCTGCTGAGGGTCCTGCAGACCCTGGTGGACGACGGCGTGGACCCCGATAACCTGTACTACCTGGCGGAGTGCGGGTTGCAGTGGAAGAGCCTGCCCGCGTCGACGCTGGCGAAGGCCTCGTTGGTCGGGCGGAAGGTCTCCGCCGCGCAGTACGCGGCGATGGTCCGCGCAGAGACCCTGACCCTCGCGGCGTGCTGCAGCGCCGCGGGTCACCAGCTCCCTCTGCTGGTCATCGGCAAGCACCCCGACCCGCGCTCCATGAAGCACCTCCGCCACGACCTCGGCGTGGTGTACAAGGCGCAGAACCCTCCCTGGCTCACGGCCTTCGTGGCCCAGGACTGGCTGGACAGTCACTTCAAGAAGGACGTGGAGCTCCGCCAGCAGGTGACGGGGAAGACCGGAAGGATCGTGCTCATCCTAGAGGACAGAGCGGCCCTCCGCAAGGTAGTCTGTCCCGAGAACGTGGAGATCCGCTACCTGCCGCGCGGCGAACTGGTGTTCAAGAAACGCTTCGACGTGCTGTTGACCGGCGTCAAGCGTAGCTACAGAGCTGCTCAAATAAAACTTCTCTGCAACCAGCCCTCACCCGCTGTGGCGCCTAGGCTGGCGGATCTGGGTGCAGTGGACAAGTTTTATATAGACTACGATCTGATGGACTGCATAAAATTGCTGAGAGAATCCTGGGACGAAGTACCTCTGGATAACTTAAAACGGATATGGCTCCAGGCCCCAGTAGCGGCCACTTTATCGATGATGGCGCCGTGTCTCAACCAGGTCGGAGGGGAGAGAATAATCAAAGGAGAATTCCTAAGACAGTGGATGGAGCAGGCGGAAGCAGACGAAGAAGGGGACATCTGCCTCAAAAATGTTATCAACGTAGAGGAGGGAACGGAATTCAGTGATGAAGAAGTGGAGATAACCCATGCATTTGAAACAATTAGAAAATGGTCAAAGAAGAGGCCTGACTATACCCAACAAACAGTTAATTCCCTTTGTAATGATTACTATGACAATTATTTTTGTAAGAGACTCTAATGCGAGTCAAACTCATTTCTCAGGAATTCCATTTGTGCCAATATAGTTTTGTCGTATTGCCACGGCATGCTAGTTGTATATGTTTACCTGTAATCGACAGTTTTTATTTTTCAACCAAAGTGTTTATGTTAATCTGTTATGTATTTTATTAATGGATTGGCTAGCTCCTACAAAATGTGATTTTGTAATTTCTTTGTAAATATGAACAGATTTTTATTTATGGAACGACCTTAGAATTTGAGTGTCATGCTTCTCTAAATGATAATAAACTATTATCAGAATCAGCAAACTTGATTGCGATGTAGTTATCCATCCCTTCGTCACTTTGCACCGACACAGTACAAAATGAGCGCAGAGCTATCGTATCGCAAACACCAAGTGGCTAATTTGCCCCACCCACAAGTAATACTGTACTGCGCACGGGCGGGCGCGCGCGCTTAGGCAACCCGACCACATGCTTGCGTGCGGCACAGTATGGAGGTGTGTGGGGCGACTGGGGCACGGACCGGGAACACTGCTATCACACCTCGCCTTCTCCCCCTGCAGATGGCGAGCGCGGGGCCGACCTACACGGTGGCCTCCACTCCGGACAACGTCCTCTTCTTCTGGGGCCGCTGGGCCGACGGCAAGCAGGTGGGCGTTCCCTCTGGCTCCGGCACTCAGCAGCAGGTTGGCGCGCCTGCGCCCACGCACAGGGAGCTGCTGGCGTGAGTACAACCCTGCAGAGCCTATGGTGGCCCTGCGTGGCCCCGCGGTACCCTGCGTCCAGTAGTGGTGGTGTCAACCCTTGGTGTGCACCGCAGGCTGTACGCGTCGCCGCAGCAGGTGGAGCGCGGCGAGGGCCTGAGCGTGGCCGGCCTGTTCGCCCTTCCCTGCTCCGTGCTGCTCCACGTGTCCACCTGCGTGCCGCTCGCGCGCATGTCCAGGGTCGCTCCCGGCCCGGTCGAGGACCAGGGGGACCCGGCCGACGAGGACGGGGAGTGCGACTCCCTGGGACCCGTGAGTATACACACCACATGGGTACTACATACGAACACCGCGAGTATATATGTCTGTGCAGACAAACACCCTCTCTGCTTCTGACATGTTCCAGATTCCAGACTGGCTTCAAGAAGAACTGGCGCAATCCGAAAACCAATGGGAAGGACCACAGTGATGGATTATTTAAGTTTACGACCTTATTTGTAATAGTTGAAATAAAATATATTTTATTTTCTTGTAATATGGACCTGTGGTTTGAGAAAAAGTAAAACATTAAAATCAATGGAACACAATTAGATGAGCTGGTCATATAATAGATACAGAAAGGTTTTATGCAAGGCAGAGGAATGCACACTACTCAGTCACTCTTAAGAATTCTGAAGTTGAGAGTTTCCATAACAAAAACTACAGTTTTGTCAAGTTCATAAATTGTCAAAAAATTAACAGGACAAGATCTTTTCTTCCACAATATCATAATGGTGAAAATAATAAACAATATCAGTCAGATTTTCTTTTAATTTTTCCACTTTGTTGTCTGCAACAAAATAAACATGAGAAATTAATGATAGGGGCTTAAGTTTGGTGAACAGAATCTGCTAAGTAAAGATACAAACTTACCGATACTCTAAGCACTCCTTCTGCATGCAGGAATTCCTCTGACCCTGGATGAAGAGTTGCCTTGTAGCCCTGTATGCCTTGACGATCTCGAAGAGCAGCATAGCTCTGGGAAGAAAAACACATGTGTACCTCTGGACTCTCTTGAGAAGGAGAAGTTTCAATTAAACTAAGAGAGAAAAAAAAGGTCTGCTTACATCAATCACAGTTTTATGACAGCCAATCTTTTGAGCTAGAGCTATTCTCTTTTCATAGCTATCCACAAATCCCAGGTATTTGGAAAGAACGTCATTTGGTGCACCCTTTGAATGAAGCTGGATCACAACCTTATCAATTGGTATAGCTAGTTTCAATTTTGAACCGGAACCAATCCAATTCTGAGGGAAAAAAATTAATATTAATGAATCACTGTTATTTGTCAAACAGATAATAGATGTGAATTTGGACGAAAAGTTTTACTTTTGTTATAAATACTGAGTCAATATCTGGCCATGCTTTCTGAGATGCTCTTTCCGAAAGAATAGTCCAGTGCAATTGCTTCTCGTTAATACCATGAAGTTGAGCCAAAGCAAATGGGTTTGTTGGGCTTCCCCGAGGATCTTCCCAATGTAATCGGCAAGCATGGGCTAAACATTCTACAGCTGACTTTCCAATTAAATTTTCTTTGTCCATCTCTCCAACAGCCAGTTCCCATTCTAATAAAAAAAACAAAAGTTGATAGTATGATAATTGATAAAGTGAAAATCATTTCAAAAAATTGATAAACCAAGAAAACTATGCTCACCTAATAATGCTACATGATTTTGGGCAAGTTTTTTGAGAGGAGAATCTCCTTGCACAAAATGACTACTAATACATGATCTAAGCTTCTGAATTTGACGTTGAACATTCTGAGTTGAAGAGCATAATTGGTATTGCTTCATCTGGAAAAGGGTTAGAATTAGAATTTCCTCAAATTAACAAGCAAAATTAAGGTCAATACGTAATTTTAAAAGAATATCTGATTTTCACTCACTGCTGCATCCCGGCTCTTTCCTAACATCCTAAAAGAGAATAGATTCTTAGGATAAATATACTTTGAGAAATAAAATTCTGGATTATGGTTTAATCTATACCTACACCAACAGATCTGTCAATTCCGCAGCTTGTAATCGAGTGGCAAGGTATCTAGCATAATGAGTTGCAGCAACAGGGTTAGAAGCAAGTATTTGATGAAGCAAACTCTTTTTTAAAGTCTGAACAAGAAAGAGAATAACCTGAAATGGGAACAGAATTAGTAATGATTTTCCAAACAAATTGATTACTCACTTTCAAAACTTACCGCCAAAATTGCATTCCCATCCCCTAAATTAATAGCTGCATCTAAAAGAGCACGTTTGCTTGAAAGGCTACGGTATGATTCTAATGAATGTGGACGGCCCAGGAAAATGTGTTTGATAGTCAGTTCTACTGGTGGTTCATCCCATCTTTCCTTAAGAATTAAGAATAGAATGAAAATAAGAAGCTTGACAATCACATTTACAGCGACAACTGAAAAATAAATGGCAAAAAACAAATGTGTAAAGTAATCAAAAAGGGATGGATCACCTGCACTTGACGTTTCAACATTCTAATTTCTTCTTCAGGTTTCATGACACGTTTCACTGGATCTCCATAGGCTGTGTCAGGGTAGTCAGCATCCATGACTTGAAAGAAAAAACAGTAATAAGAACACATGAAATAAAGGGCTAATGATAAAGTAGAATTTAAAGAAAGTTAGATCTGACTTACTGGCAGTTAAACATTTTTCAGAAATCAAAGTATGAAGGGGTGGTGCAGTATTTGAGGAGGTAGTGGATGTAGAACCTTAAAAAAAAAACGTATGTATATATTCACACAATATAATAACAAGAGTAACAAAAAGTTACCCAATTTTAAAATCAGATTTCCTACCTGTGAGTGAGTCATTATTTCCCCCATATTCTTCACCTGGAAGAGAAGCTCGTACCTGTTGAGACAGACGAGCTGTACCACTCTTCGACACCCCAAACAAGCCTCCACCTGGCTGGAAAATATTACAAAAGTAGACGATTAATATAACTACGTATAACTGTTTTTTATTTTTCTTGACAAAGTCGAACATACCTCATCATCATCAAAGTTAAAAGACTTGATACTACTGGAGTTCCAAAAGTCTTCACCCTCAGTATCTTGTCTGGCCATTTCAGGGAAAACAATTTCCGTAGGACACTGCAGTTGATACCGCTGCTTTTGAATTAAATTTTTATGCGTTTGTAGTGTAGCTTGAAAAATAATCTCATCACTGGTCACACTTCAAAACGTATACATACTTATCTTCCCCGAAAACATAACCTATATAATGTCATTATTCTCAAAAATAAAATGTAATGTTAACCATGTGAACTTTTTGCTCTCTCACACAACTCGGCTACACAATTTTTCAAACATGTAGCCGAGACAAATTTTGTGTACGATTCATTTTCGATACAATACAACACGAGATGGACTTCACTACTTGCATTCCGTCTGTCAGTTCCAACGCCCCCACCCC